GGGCCCCCCCATCGGGGATGGAAAGTTAACGGGAAAATGGAGGATTACTGTTTTATAAAAAGAAAAGGGGGATTTATCGGTACATTATTGCCTCCGCGCTCTCCTCCGCCGTTGCCGCTTGCTTTCTCCGTTTCGCCATCCCCGCCGCCGATCTCACCTTTGCCGCCTCAATCCATGTCGCCGTCGCCGTCGCCGCCGTCGGTCTCGCTTTCGCCGCCTCTGTCCTTGTCGCCGTCGCCGCCGCCGCCGTTGGAATCGCTCTCCCCGCCGCCGTCGGTCGTGTCGACTTCGCCGCCTCCGTCCGTGTCGCCGTCGCCGCTGCCTTCCTCCGTCTCGCCCTCCCCGCAGCAAGCTCGCTTGCCGTCGCCGTCGCCGCCACAGATCCGAGGCGGCGACGGCGACACGGACGGCGGAGCGGCGACAGCGACACGGAAGAAGGCGACGGCGAGACCGACGGCACGGCGGGGAGGGTGAGGCCGACGGCGGCAGCGGGGAGGAGTGCGGCGGCAACGGCAGCGGCGAGGGCGGCGGCGACGGCGGAGGAGAGAGCGGCGGAGAGGGCGGTGGAGAAGGCCGCGGGGAGGGTGGCGGAGAGGGCGGTGGAGGCGAGGGCGGCGGCGACGGCGGAGGAGAGCGCGGAGGCGACAGTGGCGGAGAGGGCGGCGAGGAGGGTGGCGAAATCGCAATAATTCACCTGCGGGAACCGGGACGGCGGGGAGGAGGTGGGACCGACTCGTGCCGCGGGCCGCCGGGCAGCGGCCATACCCGCTCGGCGGAGGCAGGGCTCAGAATCGGTTTCAGGCCACAAGGCTGGTGAGTTGGGCGTGACCGGTGTGGGCCGCTCAAGTCGGTCGAATTTATTCAACGCTCTTGGCATGCACGGCAGGAGAACGACAGCGGGGTGGCGCAACTTCCCCGATCCCCTTCACTGCTTGAGATGGCTGCACAGAACGCAGTATGGGCTCGGGCGTCGGTCCATTCAGACTGCGGGGGAGCATGCATACCCCACAGCCACGCTCCAGACCGCGCTGCTGATCCGGCAAATTGGAGGACCTCGTGCCTCTCGGCTTCTCTTATGCGTGATGCCAGCAGAAAGGACGCTGATGCATGCTCAAATGAGGCACCGCGTATCTCCTCGCAGCTGCAGCTGGCATCCGCCGTGGACTAACGAAATCTGCGATCTCAGTGCCCCAGCACGCAAAATTTTCTCTGCAGGGCTACCGCCCCGCACCCCGCCTGGGATGAATTCACACCTCTCAACAGCTGTTCACACTTGGAAAACTCACCGGATTTGGGCCACTTGCCTGGGCGACCCTGGACCCCTGGCGGACGCGCATGACGTCGGCCGGGACCCCCCGTGCGGGGGCCTTCGCAATTGGTCCCTTGGCAAGTGCAAATCGGTCCCCCTGGCTCCAGGAACTGATCCGGCACTACACCCGGATCTATTGCTGTTGACTTGCTCTTAAAATAAGTACCCGACGGTAACGTGCAGAGCATCGAATAGACGCCTTGCCCAAAAAGTTGGCACACCGCCCTCTAGATTCCCGGTGGTGTGTGGTGCGCGCGTACGCGCGCAGCGCGCACGGCAGCGTCCCCACACCTCGCGCGCGCGCGCCGCCGCCCCCGCCCCCGCCCCCGCTCCCAAGCGCCCCTTCCCCGGTGTTTGCGGTTAGGGCTTGTGTCGTGAGAGGGTATGTGATCTACGTGAGACCCCCCTCGGCCCCTGTCGCCTGTGCGTGTGGGTGTGCGTAGAAAGTGGAACCCATCGAGAGGTGCCGCGGCCGGAGCCGCCGTGTGTGGTATGATGACATGTTATCCAACAGTTTTTCTTCAAACATGCAAACGAGACGGCCTGCGCAGCCTCTGGCTATTGTACCACCAAGGCCAACCACAACACACTTGGAGGACCTCTGCTCCTTCAGCGCGCTCCTGCCGTCCACGCGCGCGCGCTACGCCGCCCTGGTCGTGTATGCGCCGCTCGGCTTCGTAGTCGCGGTAGTGCGGCTGCTCCTTTGCCTGCTCGTCGCTGTGACCCATCTCGCAGTGGCTCCGTTCCTGCCACCAGCAGCACGCGCAATTTTGGAATCCGCAGCCGTCCGAGCGATGACTCTCATCGGAGGCGTCCGCATCCGCCTGCAGACGCCTGGCGGCGCTGCTGCGTCGCCGCGAGTAGCAGAGAGGCTGCGACACGCCCGCGTCGTGGTCGGCAACCACGTGACGCAGTTCGACAGCCTATTCCTCCGCGTGTGGTGCGGCGGCAGCCTCGCAGTTCCCGTACGAGAGACGTACGCCAAGAGCGGGTGGCTCCTGCTTCACCTCACTCGCATGGTGGTGTCGCCAATCTGGGTGTCGACTCCACGGCCTCCTCCTCCTCCTCCTCCTCCTCCTCCTCCTCCT